TGAGGGGACCGTGAGGGGACCGTGAGGGGACCGTGAGGGGACCGTGAGGGGACCGGGCGGGCGGGCGGGCGATGAGGGGGCAACGAGCGTCTCCCGGGGCGGGAGCGGCTCGGCGGGGCCCAGGGAAGGTGAGCGCGGCGAGGGGAGGGCGGGGAACGAGCAGAAAGAGGATCCTGACGGGGTGAAGCCCCGCGGGGCCGAGGCCGCCCCTCAGCCGTGTCCCGCTCACGGGCAGCGGCTGCTGAGGGGCAGAAGCGGGTGTCGCTCAGGATGCGGGTGCTGTGGCAGCGCTGCCCCAGTGCTGGAGAAGGGAACGCTCCGGAGAGACCTTAGAGCGCCTTCCAGTGCCTAAAGGGGCTCCCAGAGAGCTGGAGCGGGACTTCGTACAAGGGATGGGGTGACACGGCCCGGGGAATGGATTCACGCTGGCAGAGGGTGGATTTAAATCGGATATTTCCCTGAGGGTGGGGAGGCCCTGGCACAGGTTGCCCAGGGAAGCTGTGGCTGCCCCTGGATCCCTGCGAGTGTCCAAGGCCAGGCTGGACGGGGCTTGGAGCAGCCTGGGCTGTGGAAGGTGTCCCTGCCCACGGCAGGGGTGGCACTGGGTGACCTTTAAGTTCCCTTCCCACGCCCCCGGGCTGTGATTTATGTTTGCAGTGCCCAGCGGTGCCCGCAGCCCTCAGGGTGACGCCCCTGGCCCTGCTCAGCTCAGGTTTCCAGCAGCAGCTCCAGGAATCCACCCTGTGACCTTGTCACCATCTCTGCATACCTGAAGAATTAAACAGCCACCCAGCAAACACCCACAAAGCACCTGTTAGCGGGTTTGCACAAGCTGGAGCTTTATTTCTCGAGAGAGGAAAAGTTGGTGTAACTTGGATTTTACCAGAGGAGCCTGTGCTCACACACCGGGTGTAAATTCCCACTCTTGGCTGTCTCAGCTTTGAATATTAATTCCAGAGAAGCCAAGTGATAAATAGGTGGGCAAAATACACAGGAGTAAACGGCTGCCAGGTTACAGCAGCAAGTTTATGACCAGTGCAGAGGAGCTTGGGATGGTTAATGGACATTTTCAGGAATCAGATCCCCTGGGATTTCTGTCACCATGGTAACGTGTATAGATGGCAGGCCTGCTTCCAACCTGTGTTTGACTGTTCCAGCAGTAAAAAATTGGATTCTGTAAATAACCATAGCTTGGAATAAAATCCTAGCCTTTTACTTCCCCATTAAAACAACATTTTAAAAAGTTCTGTCTTGCTCCAGTAAACATTCAGTATAAATTGCCCAGATCACTTCCATGATAAACCCTGTGTGGGATGTCTTGTTTCTTAAGTGGAAAAGGGGAGAATATTCAGATTTGTAATGAATGCAAAACAAACACGAATTTATTCTGGAACAATAAATTCATATTATACTGCTTAATAAATAACAGAACTCGTGCCTGAAATAAAATTAAAAAAAATGAAAAGCATCCCCGTCGGATTTTCATGTGTTTTATTGAGGTGAACATACACATGGTCCACACAGTCAATGAAAATAAGTCATAAAATAATTTAAGAACTTGTGTTGAAAGGTATTAGCAGCACCATCAGTATTGGAATACCAGAAAACACGTCTCCAAAGGGCAGTTATGCCTGGATAAAATGCCATCATTTGGGACAGGGGATGGGAATGGCTTTGTTGGATGCTCTGGGGGAGTTGGAGTTTTTTTTTTTAAAACACACTTTTTTTTTTTTTTTTTGCTAAATACTTTTGACGATCATCGTTACAAAAAAAAATACAACTAAATAAAGATACTGCATAGTATTTTAATGAACATAAAATCGACATGGAGGTGTGTAAAGCAAGACCCAAAGCTCTGCTTCCACATACATTTCACTTCTGAGTAGAGAAATCTAAAATTTAAAACCAAAATATAGACCTAGTGTATTCTCTAAAAGACACACCTTAGGTGGAACATATTGGACTACGAAAATACATATCTCCCATTCTGTTTAATAATTTACTTTAGTTAAAAAGCTGTGAAATTCTCCTCACAAGAAGCGTATACAAATCGATGACTTTAGTAAATTAACAAAAAGGATTCATTTTTTGGGTGTTTTTTTTTTTTTTTTCCTTTTTTAAAACAAGGGTTTCAAACAATTATACAAGGAAGAAAAAAAAAAAAAAGAGACTACATTTATATGAAGGAATACAAATTTACACACATTTTACAGTGACTTATACCCTACACATCTACAAAATTCACAGTTATAATACAAGCAAGTACAAGGCCGGGAGGGGTGTGGGGAGGGAATAAAGCTGTCGGATACCAAAAAAAGTTTCTACTTTTATTAAAAAAAGATAAAAGAGTTTCAAAAACTTCCTGCAGCCGCTCAGAGCCTCCTGTCTGCCCCTCAGCACACGCACACGGCTTTCCTGGGCGGGTGGAAGAGGCCGGGGCTGAGCTTCTTCTGCCCCCTCAGGCTGCGCCTCATGGCCAGCTTGCCGGGGGTCCTGCGGGCCGGGGCCTCCCCCTGCGGGCCCAGCGCCCGGCCCAGCCCCCGCCGCGGCTTCTTCACCGCCGGGCCCGAGTTGGATTCCTCCAAGGTCCTTTTAAAGTTCGCCGCCGGCGTTTTCTCCGCCTCCTGCGCTTTAGTTTGGCCGCCAGGGGACACCTTGAAGCCTTTTTGGTCCGTGCCTGAGTTGGAGGCGGCCAGGCTGACCGACAGGCCGTGGCCGTAGGATTCCTGTGTCCGCAGAGCCAGCGCTTTGCTGCACTTCTCCTCCTGGGGGCCGGAATCCTTCGGGGCTCCTCCCGAGGGAGCGACGCTGCTTTTGGCAATCTCGGTTGGCAGCTCCAGGTACTTGTCTGGGAGCGCGGGGCTGTGCAGGAGGGGAGGGACGGGCTCGGCGGAGCTCAGGCGGGGCCACGGCTCATCTTCCGAAAGCTGAGGGGGAAGGAAAATACACGGTTAGGCTCAAATATAATCACGGAATGGCTGGGCTTGGAAAGCACCTTAAAGATCATCTTGTACAACCCCTGCCAGGCTGCATCCACCTGACCACCCCTGGAGTGCTGTGTCCAGCTCTGGGCCCCTCAGCTCAGGAAGGACACTGAGGGGCTGGAGCAGGTCCAGAGGAGAGCAACGAGGCTGGGGAAGGGACTGGAGCACAAGTGCTGTGAGGAGAGGCTGAGGGAGCTGGGGCTGTTCAGCCTGGAGAAGAGGAGGCTCAGGGGAGACCTCCTCACCCTCTGCAACTCCCTGACAGGAGGGGGGAGCCAGGGGGGGGTTGGTCTCTTTTCCCAGGCAACAATCAGCAAGACAAGAGGGCTCGGTCTTCAGCTGTGCCAGGGGAGGGTTAGGTTGGAGATTAGGAAGAATTTCTTTCCAGAGAGGGTGCTCAGCCATTGGAATGGGCTGCCCAGGGAAGTAATGGAGTCTCCATCCCTGGAGGTTTTTAAGATGAGACTGGATGTGGCATCAGTGCCATGGGCTGGGAACCACAGCGGGGTTGGATCAAGGGTTGGACTTGATGATCTCGGAGGTCCCTTCCAACCCAGCTGATTCTGTGATAATCACAGAATGGCTGGGCTTGGAAAGCACCCTAAAGATCATCTTACACAACCCCTGCCAGGCTGCATCCACCAGACCAGGTTGCTCCAAGCCCTCTCCAATCTGGCCTTGAACACTTCCAGGAACAGGCACTGTCCTTTGGGGCTGGAGAGAGTGTGACAGAACTCCTCTAAACCTCATCAGAGGCAGAAAAATCCTACTCCCAAACTATCTTTTCTGCACGTCGAGAGGTGGAAGATGAGATTGGATCTGAGCTGTGAAACCCTGAGGGACCCACAGGCAGCTGCTGTGGATTTGGGGAGCCGTGGACAAAGCAGTGCCTGGAAGCCCTGTCCTCTCCTTTTCAGAGCAGCATTTTCCACCCTGCAGACAGGACCTCCCTCCTTCAGGCACTGCCCCCAGGAGATCCATCCACCATCAGGGAGCCAAACAGCAGCAAGAGGCTTCTGACCTTTGTCACATCCGAGTCCTCAGTTAGTGCATAACCAGGTTAACAGAGAGGGACCAACTCCTCACCAGTGTCCCCACTGCCCACAGAGAGACAGGGAGGCAGAGCTATTCTAAAAATGGCTTTATTGCCTCTGGTTTCCTCCAGCTCCATCCCTGCCAGCACTCCCAGCCACTCCCCAGGAAGCACAGTCTCTGTGTGTTGGGCAGGAGCTGTTTAATGATGTCCTCAGAACCAGGGACTTCCCAAACTCTGACCCTCCCTTCAGCTCCTCATCTCTTCTGCAGCCTCAGAGAAGTGGTTTTGCCTCATTCCCAGTCCTACTGACAGGAAAATGGGGACAAAACACTTGCTCTCCCCCATCCACGGGGGGATTATGAAAATTAGTGTTTATGCAGTGCCCTGAAGATATGAATGATGACCTTATTAAAGATTTAATTGTGAAGAAATCCCTGGTTACTCAGAGAGTCCTTCAAAAGTAAATTTCAAGGCCACGTTACTCCACACACCATCAGTGAGAGGCAGATGACAGTTCTTATTTTAAGAAAATAATGTGCTTTTTGAAAACTCCAGTGCTCACACAGTTCCATCAGTCAGAGCAAAGCCTCAGGTGAACAAACAGATGTTTTTTGAGTCCCAGCCCAGAATAACTCCAGTTCTCCTTCAAGGTGAGTTCCAGGGCTGCTCAGCACTTGGCAAAAATCTGATCCTGAGGTTTAGTAAAATGCCCTCCAAAAGAGAGGATAATCAGAATTGTTTCCAGCATCCACACCGGGTTTCCACTCCTCTCCACTCCTCTGCTGCTCCCCACATGTAAATAAAACCATCTGGGTAAGATTCTTTTGCTACATTTACCAACAGGAGAGGGAAGACCTTTATGGCTGGTGTTCTAAAGGTTATTCCTCAGCTCAGCTCCTGCAGGATCCATGAGGAAGCTGATCACACACACACACAGAGCAGCTCTGGCAACGCTGCTGCAGCTCCTCAGTGGAATTTCTGACATTGTGTCTCTAACAACAGCTTGGTTTGATGATTTTATTGTGCAAGACATTTTATCTCCAACATCTCCTGCCTGCTGCAAACAGCTGAGCCTGGAGAAGGCTTCAGGAAGCCAAGGGAAGGCAGAGGATGGACTGTGGAGAGGGATGTGACCAGACAGGAAAAATAAACCATGAATCACCATTTAATGTCTCAACAATCCAATCAATCTTTATCACTGTCCCCAGGAATACTGGAATTAATTTGGTATTAGTAATTGCTGCCAGAAGGATAAGCAATTAAGAAATACTTCTGTTTAATTGAGAAACTTTGGTCTCCATCTATCTCCAGATTAATTGTTTTGGCAGGTAGCAGCTGTCAGGAGCCAAGGCCATCCCTGCTTCCCTCACAGAAACTGGGATGATCCCTCTGCAGTAAAATTCAACAGTATTAATTAATTCCCAACCTAAATTAGATCATACATTTACCTGCAGCTTTATGTACCAAAGTATTTCTGGTTTGTTCTGCAAATGGATGCTGTTCTCTGCGGCCACATTTGCTGGGACCAACCAAATGGGGCTTTTCCCTCCTGTGATGTTGCCCACACCACTGGGATCCCAAAGGATCATGGAATAAAGGCTTTTCCTGAATCTCTCACCACCTGCTTCCACTTCTGCAGATTCTCAGTTCACTGAATCTACTTAGATGGAGAGGAGGAATAAAAAAACCCCAAAACATACTGTCCCTAAGCCCTCATCCAGAACTGCTGGTTCCTGGATGTTGTGCAGCCAGCACAGCTCAGTGATTCCTGGTAACAGTTCACACACAAACCAGATGGCACCATTTAAAATTTTAGGAGCGCTTAGAATTCAAATATTTTTCCCCCTCAAGATTTCGCTGGGGTTTGAGCTCTTTTCACAGCTCTCCATGGATGGAAGGGGAGGAGACAAAGGTGGAGCTTCCTGTTTTATGAGCAGCTTCTTTCTCCCAAGGGAACGTTCCCAACTCCCTCTCTAATTTCTGCTTTCTTTTCCTTTGCCCAAAGGACAGTTATCTACAGATACTGCAGAACATCAAAGGACAGTGACTGAAATCAGGAGCAGCTGGGAATTACTGAAGCAAACATCCACTCACAGCTACACTGCACTTCTTACAGGGGCAAAGAAAAGGCCACAAAACAGAACAAAACAACCCTCTGAAGGGCTCTGCTTTATGTTGATGGTTAAAACTTCCAAGCCTCAAGAAAGACCTTCTGTTACCATGTCTCTTCCTCCAACAAAGAACATTAAATCAACCACAGGAAGATATTGAGATCTCCCAATGCAGAGAGAGAAATGTTCTTTATATCAACATGTGCTGGTATAAATTAACCCATGAGTTACCTTAGAGGAGAAAATAAAAACCCACAGCCAAACAATCCCAAACCAAGCCCCACAAGGTCAGAACACACCCACAAGCACCACTCTGCACCACCCCAGCTGTGCTGCACCAGGACATGGCAAGGCAGAAGGGAAACTGCAGCCCAACCTTATTCTCTAAGGGGATGTGTGCTGGGTTTTTTCCTTTTTTAAACCTCTGATCCCCAGTCTGATTTCTTCCTAACAGGCTCCCTTGGATTTTGGGGTGAATCTTGGAAAAAACTTACCCCTAAGAGTGCATTTCAAGCTGTGTGAAACACGTGCATAAAGTTACACTGATAATTTCGTCCACGCTGAGGGATCACAGATCCAAAACTACTAACAAACCACCAGCAGCAATTCTGAGAGGTTCCTACATTAATACTCTGCCTTTGGTGCTCCAAAATCTTTTAAGAAACAGTAATAAAAGCTGGCCCACTTCTCCACAGTGAGCACTGAGGACGTGGCACAGAATGTGTCACAACTGAAACACATTATGTAGACACACACGGTGCCTGGTCCAGAGTTAAAAACACATTGAAAACATCAAAAGGCAACGTTAAACAGTGACTTAAATTGAGAGGTCAGTAGTTTCTAAGACTATTACTAAATCCTTGGCAATGGTCTGACTCCACCATGCCCCAGGAAGCTGCCTAAGGGGAAATTCCTCCCAGGGGGGAGCATTGCAGTGCCAGGCTCTGACTCCCTTCTGGGAGCCAGACTATTTTTGTTCTGAATTAAAACCCAAACATTTACAGAACTCTTTAACAATCTCCTTCTTTAAAGACTTTACACACTGGGAATATTCCTTCCAGTGTGACCTTTGCATATTTCTTTTCCAAAGCATGAAAAAAAATGTTATTAATGTGGTTCCTTCTGCATCTTCCAGAAAAGTCATACCTGTTTCTCAGTGCTGGCTAAAACCTGAATAATATACAGAGATCCACATTAAAATACTGCATCTTACAAAATGAGAGAGATGTTTGAAATCAGATACTGAAGGAGCAGGACTCTAATTTAGCTGCCTATGAGAATATATCAAACTGTGCAGTCTCTCCTACGTGCTCAGTGCTAACTTTTAAAATACAACAAAGAACCCGTTTGTAGCTCAGCTGCTGCCAGGGATTCGGTGGCACATTTACCTTGACAGGGGGGGTGCAGCAGCGGGAGGGGCTCATGCTGTTGGTGTCAGGGCTGCTGTAGCAGGGCCCCTCGGCCAGGTTGAGGTACAGCTCCTCCTCGTGCTCCCAGGGGCTCTGGCTGTCGCGAGGGGGGTGGATGCAGATCACGATGGCGCTCGTGTTGTCCGCCCGCAGCATCCGCTGCCTCCAGCGGCCCAGGGCGCGGCTCACCAGCATCTTGGCACACGACTGCCGGTGCTCTCCCTGCTGGGGACACGGGGGGACACGTCAGGGACACGTCAGGGACACGTCAGGGACACGTCAGGGACACGTCAGGGCCACTGGGAGGTGGCACAGGGGCAGCACAGCTGGAGGTTTGTGCTCCCGCGAGTCGCGCGCTGAAGGAGCTCCAGCCGGAAACACGGGAGGAAACACTCGGGGAAACCTCTTCCTTCCACGGACATACAAGTGCTTTAAACCAGAACACCGCACCAACAGCCTGCCTGTGGCACAACCTACAGCCCTCCCAAAGCCTCTCCAGGGTTTACAGAGCATTTACTGTCTGATGCTCCACTATAGGAATTCACAGAACCCCAGAATGTGCCAAGCTGGAAAGGACTCAGGGATCATGGAGTCCAACACTCAGCCCTGCACAGGTCACACCCTGTGCCTGAGGGGATTGTCCAACTGCTTCTGGAGCTCTGGCAGCCTTGGTGCTGTGAGCACTGCCCTCATCTTAACTGCTTTGTAAAATAAACCAGAGAATAATTTAATTCAGCCTAAGCAACTGTCTGCATTGTGACACGAGTCCTGACGTGAGATAAATTTGATTTTCAGACAGCACTTTGTATAACCTCCTTAGAGAAGGAACATCATGTCCTTTATTACTGAGAGATACCATTCTAGTGGTCACATTTCCCCAAAATGACAACCAAATAACAAACTCAACAATGTTATTTGACATCAGCCTCTACAACTAAGCTGTTCTAACAACTTTATTTTGTGGCAAAACTATGAATATGCCCAAATAACAACCCCTTTGTTGGATACTTCATTGCTCAGTCTGAGTGATTTTTAGAGGTAAAAAGCATTAAATTCCCACTGCTCTCACCACGAAGTACTTCTTCTCCTCGTGATCCTGGCACATGGAGATGGCATCCTGGGGTGGGATCATGTTCCAGAGCCCGTCACTGCCCAGGATGATGTATCTGTGTTTCTGGGGGTCGATGGTGTGAACGCTCGTGTCGGGCTCAGGGGACACCACAAACTCCCCACTGTAGAAGTCGTAGCTCCAGAGGTCACCTGGCAAAGCAGAAAATGGGTTGGAGTGGTTACATTCCACATCCTGGAAAATACAGATCAGCGTTCCCGGGAAAACCACCGGCACCAGGCTGGAGTCACCAGCAACACGAAGTAATTCCAGCACAGCTGCTGTTCTGCTGCTGCCACCTTCCAATCATATTTAATGCAACAAATTAAGCCACATTCAAACCTATGTTTATAGGAGATCTACTCTCTTCAAACTAGTTTTTGGGACAAGGGGAAATATCAGAGATTAACACCTCAAAAATGGTGAAACTTCAATTGCTGCCCAAAGTAAAACCCACCTGGGATTTATAAAGTCCTCCTTAAACAGAAGTAAGGCCTTACTTTGCTGATCCCACACCAAACCTGCAAATATTCCTGTGTGCAGGTGCCACAGGGAGGGGACAAAGGCAGAGAGGAAAGGAGGAGACTGAGCTTTTCCCCTGCTCCATCCTCTTTCCCGTCCCTCTTCCCTCTGCATCCCTTGCAGGGCTGTTGGAGCCTCCTTCCAGCTGAACCCCCTGTGCCAAACTGCAGAGCTGGAGAGCAGCCACAGGAACAGGAGGAGTGCTCAGTTCCAGCAGGGAATGAGAGCTGCAGCCTCTCCCCAGGACGGCCCCAGCCAGGGAACCTTTCTATTTTTACCCCTCCCTCACTGTGTGAATGAGTTGGGGGTCACCTTGGCAGCAACACATCCAAACATCCCCTGCATCCAGTGCTCCCCTCCAAACCCTCCTCAGGTAAAACCCCCTCCACCAGAAAATTCCATTTCCATATCAAATTATTTCAATTTCATTTACCAAGTACACTTGAAAAAAATTAAAACCCTTCATGTAAATCAGGAAAGACAATCATTTGTGCTGGCACCTTCTCTTTTCATTTCCACGTTCACAAACAACTTCCCATAGCAAAAAACCAACAAAAAGTAACATTATTAATTGCAAGCACTGGCTAAGCTTTTCTGTGCAGGACACACAGCTTTAAAAGCAGATATTAATTAACATGTCAGAGGTGAGCAGCAAGGAGAAGCTCAACAACTCCAGCTCAAGAGCAAGGGTTTGTGGGGCTCTTGGCTTTTTGCTGCCTGTAGCTTCTTCCACATCCATCACCACCCTTTTAAAGATAATAAATAAGCTTTTTGTCTTCCCACTTCCCTCCATTAGCTTTGCCTTAAGCTATCAACCAGCTGAAAAGACTCTTCCAGGATGAGGGAAGGGAATACTTGGGCTCAATTAGTGCTCTCCACCACAGCAAGGAGGGCTGCTCCACCCTCATTAAAGCCCCAATTCTCCTCCCCGACAAGCACACGCTGCTAATGAGCCCTAATTAACAGCCAAGGCTGCTCGTCCAGAGGTGCACCGAGCCCCCACAGACCCCAGTAAAGCCAGCTGGCAACGGCAAAGAAAGAAATCCTGGAGCACAGGAGCTGCAGCACAGAAATTACTGGATGGGAATCACCACCCAAAGTTCCTCCCACCGACCTGTCGTGGACACAGCAGGTGAACAAACAGGAGCCTGGGATCACAAACCCACCCTTGCAGTCCTGGCAGCAGCCATTTCCAACGTGCATAATATTTTTATGCTGCTCTTTGCTTCTTTGTTCACACTCATTTAGGAGAAATGACAACTGTCATTCACTGAACCGTTGTTTTAATTAAAAGCCTGGGCTGGGTGATAAAAATAACCTGCTGCTATTTCAGTTGGGTTCATGGATGAACATGTCATCGTGTCCATCTGCTGCTCTTCCTGAGCAAACTGCCAAGTAATCACCACACTCATTTCAGGGGATCTTCTCCAAGAGGAAGAAGGCTCCTCACAGGGATAACTGGGAATACTGCAGTGGTTATAAAGAGAAAATACACAATAATTTATTTCCAAAGCCGTAGGATGGAAGAGCATTAAAGCCCAACCAGGAATTAACTGACCAACCAGACCAGTCAGGAGCTACTGGAATCTCAGAAGAGCCCCAGGATTGACAAACTGAAAAGAAAATAAAGCTTTTGTTCCTTAACCCAGCAAAAATTCCACAAGGAATACTTGAAGCCTGAGGCATACAGTGAAATTCTGCCTAGGAGGAAACAACCTCCTCAGCCTAGGAGGAAACAACCAGTACTTGTGACTGCCCTGAAGAACAGGGAGAACTGTCTGTGGGGATCATTTCTCAGCAGCTGCTCCATGGACCTGCAGAATTCCTGGCAGGAGGAGCTGCCTCAGGGAGGGGCTCTCAGACCCTCCAGAGGCTGATCCCTGTCACAGGGGCAGGGACAGTGATTTTGGATTTATTTTCAGCACAGGCTGAGCCAGAGCTTTGTGGAGCTGCTGCCCAGATGGAATGCTGTCATTCCAATGTCAGCTGTGTGCCCTCCCTGCCCAGCTGGAGACTCAGGAATCACAAACCTGGAGAGCTGGGGAATCACAAACCTGGAGAGCTG